ACATAAAAGCCGTTCGTATCTCGTGGTGATCAGATCGAATCGAGCAGCACCACGACTGTGGCGTCTCGCCTTGACGACGGCATCGGCGAGCTGATCCCAGCGGCTCCCAGCCCGGTTTCAGCCTTGCCGATTCACATCGATTGGACACCCAGGCTCATGAAAACGCCACAACGGACAACTTTGTGCCTTGCATCAACCGCAGATGGCTGGCACTGGGTGGGTGCTAAGCTTGCTGGACCAAAACTCTCGCCCTACAACGACGCACCTTGTCTATTACGAAGCATAACCGACCCGTCACGGAGATGTGCCTGCGATAATGCGGAGAGGGCCGCAATGGTGATGATGACAAACCTAGCATGTCGGGACGGCTTTGATTCTGTCATTTTGTGTTCCATTCGCTGGATTTGCCCGCAACTCGATTGCCTGTGGTCTCGTGTTTCGGCCTCCGAATGCACTCGCGCTTGTCTTGCGTTGGACTACGTCGTATCTTTGTCTTGCAATGAACCTGGCGCCCAATAGCACGCCTTCAGCCGTCTCATCGCTTTCGTAACAGGGTTTGTGAAGGCTTTACCGAGGTTGATGATAATTGCTGTTGGGCAACAAATGCGGGGAACAATGTTCGGCCCGCTGCTCGACGGTGCGTCAGCGGCCGTAGTTGCCCAGCCTTGTGCCATTGGCCCGGCTCAAAGCTCTGTAAGCTTGCTTCGCAGTAATACAGTAATATGGCATTGGAGCATTCGGTCTGACCCCAATGGCAACAGGCAGTCATCAATGGCTTGCATACAGCATCAAGTGTCAAACAAAATAACCCCAAGATTGAAAAGAACCTTTTTAAACCCACCTGCCTCGCGAACTTCGCGTCGTCTCCATTGCTCTTTCCATAGTCAACATACTCCCTCTGCTTCCCCAAAATCTCCCAAATCGCCCAAATCGCCCAGAATGCCTCTTTCCCTCATTATCGAGAAGGTCGATGGCAAGCCCGGCCAGGTGCACTACCCGTAGGTGCCCCCCCCTCCTGATTCTTGGCATGTTTCCAGTGGTCATTTGTACTCATTGTTTCCACTCAGCCTCAAGCTCAAGGAGGTATCCAAGCCCACGGCGGGTCCCGGTGAGTTGTTGGTGCGCATCCGTGCCGCCGCCCTGAACCACCGTGATGTGTTCATCCGTCAGAATCTGTACCCCGGCATCTCGTTTGAGAACCCGCTGTTTGCCGATGGCTGTGGCGTCGTCGAGGCGGTCGGTTCTGGCTGCAAGCGCGCCGAGGTCGCCCAGGTCGGCGCTGCCGTCGTGATGGCCCCCTGCCGCGGCTGGACGTCGGACCCTGATGGCCCGGAGGAGTACAACAAATTCTCCGCCCTGGGCGGCGCTGTGGGCGTCGATGCCGGCATGGGTACCGAGTACCTGAGCGTGCCGGAGGACGAGCTCGAGCTGGCCCCCGCGCACCTGTCGCCTGCCGAGGTCGCTGCGATGCCGCTGGTCGGCTTGACGGCCTGGCGCGCGCTGGTCACCAAGAGCAACGTTGTCAGCACGGCGCAGCCCGCGGGCGGCCGCAACGTGCTGGTCACGGGCATCGGCGGTGGCGTCGCCATTGCCGCGACGCAGCTGGCCATGGCCCACGGTTGCCGCGTGTACGTGACGTCGGGCGACCCGGCCAAGCTGCAGCGTGCACAGAACGAGCTGGGTGTGGCGGGCGGTGTGAACTACAAGGACGCCGACTGGGACAAGCAGCTGCTCAAGCTGCTGCCCACGGAGCGCCCGCAATTCGATGCCATCATTGACGGCGCTGGCGGCGACATTATCAAGCGCGCAGTGCGTCTGCTGCGGCCCGGCGGCGTCGTGTCGTCGTACGGCATGACGGTGAGCCCCAAGATGGACTGGTTGATGTCGGCAGTGCTGCGCAACATTGAGCTCAAGGGCTCGACAATGGGCTCGCGCGACGAGTTCCGCGCCATGGTGGCATTTGTGCGCGAGCACAAGATCCGGCCCATTGTCAGCCGCATCGTGTATGGTGGCCTGTCAGAGGCCAACCTGCCGGCCATTGACGGCCTCTTTGACGACATCAAGGAGGGCCGGCAGTTTGGCAAGGTGGTGTTGTCGTTTGACCAGGAGGCCTCGACCTCGGGACGGGATTCGCCGTCTAAGCTGTAGAGCGACTTGCACACGTGAAACGGCACCAATGTATATGCTGAAGGAAAGAATAAAGAATGTATAAACAGGATGCCTTTGAAATGATTCTCGCATAGTATAAAATTTATGAACGACCTAAATAGAAAATGAGGAGAAAAAGTATACCGTAAGACACCACAGGAATATATGCAAAACACCGCGTGGCAAATGGCTCTGCCAGGGGAGGGAAACAAAGTCAAAGACAAATGAAAAATGAAGAAAAAAAATGACGCTCATGATCTATGCATGCCCTCTCAATCCTCGTCGGCCGGCTCGACCTCCTTAGTCTTCCGCTTCTTCTTCTTCCGCTTCTCGTCACCCTCCTCTGGTGGCACAAAGTCGCGCTCGCGCTCGCGCTTCTTCTCCTTTTTCCGCTCCTGCGCCTGCTCTTGCCGCTCCGTCTCCGCCGCCCGCTGCTTGGCCTGCTTGCTGAGAAAGTACTCGCCCGACTCGATCTGCAGGTCCACCTTGCTCTTCTCCGGCGCCGGCGGGAACGCCGTGTACGTCTTCTTGGCCTTGTCCGTGACGTGGTGCGGCACGCGCCGCTTGCTCAGCACGCGCTTCTTGAAGTTGGGCAGGAACCGGTCCCAGCTCTCGTTGGCCAGTGCCGGGTCCTTGGCCAGCTCGCGCTTGATCATGAGCTCCTTGATCATGTAGATGGGGTGGATGTTGTTCATGCAGTCTTCCACCACGCGCCGCACCTCCTTGAGGCCCTTGTAGGGCCCCATGACGGACACCGTGCCGCCCTGCACCAGAATGTAGGTTTCCGTCAAGATCTCGAGCGCCTTGAGCGTCGAGCCGTGCGGGCCCAGGATCCGCTGCCGCCGCTTCACGAACCGCTCCTTGTTGCGCACGAGGCTGCGGATTTTGATAATGTCGGCCGCCACGCCGTCCTCGAGGATGCGCAGCGCCTGCGGCGCGGGTACAGACCGCGACAGCAAACGGATCAGGTCGCGCGCATTCAGGATCGCCGCCGGGTCGTAGGTGCGGCGGGTGGTCTTGACCGTCATGGTACCCGTGACCAAGTCGAGTTCGCAGGCAATGCCGCGCGCCTGCAGTGCTCGCGTGATGCCCGCCCAAGCCTCCCGCAGGTACACTTCGCGGTACTTGGGGAAGAGGACGGCAAACGACGACTCCTCGAGAAAGCTGCCCGCCTTGTTGTCCTCGGGCTTGAAGGCATCCTCCTTCCACTTGTCAATGTCATCCGTGTCCCACGGCTTGTCCTTGTTCTGGGTCGACGGCATTTTCAGAGGTAGGTAACGAGAGTCGGCGGAGAGTCGGTAGATATGTATAGGTGGGAAATATTGGCCGGAGTACTGGGGAGACTCGACGTTGGCGAACTTGGGCCCTGGTTGTCAACAGACTAGACGGTGAACTGTCGCAACTTGCGGTTGGAGATGGTATTAAAATGCTGGCACAAAGATGAAAGGTCGCTGGGCAAACCAGAAAAAAAGAGTATCGATAACGATTAGAGGGACCTGTTCCGCTTTTTTTTGTATTCTTTTTGGAGCTTTCCCTTTTTAGGAAGACTGCAATTCGTCCAATGAGAGGCGTATCTGCTTATACAGTATTTATATAGTGTTAAGACAGTGTGTACACTGTATGAAAATTTCTCTTACTCGAGACAGGCTGAAGGTTCTGATAGCATCGATATTTCTTCAAGGTCCACCGATAAGCCTGTTAAGGCGGAAGACATCGGCGATTCTAGAGGCCCTTTTATCGATAATGATTATCTAGGCGTTCCTGGCAACAGTTGGAGATGTTGGAGTAGATACAGAAATGCTGTCTGAAGGCCCTTTGTAAATCTATTCTTTTCGAGTGCACACTTTGACTGAACGCACCTTCCGTGCTGGAGGGCACATGCCAATAAGAATCGAGCGATTTCTCGCCTGTTATGGAAAAGAGCCAATCGCATACGCTACGAATGCAAAGTATCACTCTGCCGAATGTATGTCATACGTGCGGCTTGACGGGCAGGGCAAGTGACAGAGTACTCTCTGCACGGAGGGAGAAGCCGCTTGATGTCCACACCGGGTGGAGCGCCCTGCAGAGATACCATGCGCTGTGATTGAGCCGATGGGCCGATAGACAATTCCTTTCACTTTTGAAAGACCAATGGGTCGTGCCAGCATACCGTATCGGACTGCGATTGTCTACCGAGCTGCCCACGGATGAAAACGTGGTCACCCCGGTCACATTTTTTCGCATTAGTTCTGGACGTATCTCGCACTCTGTAGTCGCCTCTCAAGTTGCCTCATGTTTCTGCACCGTATCTTATCATGTACTGTCAAGGAAGCTCCTTCCTTCTTCGCATCGGCATTGGCCCCGTCATCTCTCCGTAGCGAGTCATGTACGCTCTCGCTGCTGACTGTCCGGCGCATTTACCTCCCTGGAACTAGCAGTTGCGACCGCTAAACATCGAAAAAGGTGCTAACCCGCAAGCACGCGGGACTTGGCCGTGTGCTTGGACAGAGGCCGCATTTCTTTATTTTCAGCGCTCTTGGGTACTCGGTACACCACTGCCTTATCATTTCCCACCCACACCAGCCCCACTTTTCCATCCCCCCGACTAAAAAAATAGTAAAAAAATTCTAATCCACATTGTGTAATCTCATATCGGCTCGAGCGATAAAGGTTTTTCATGGGCCTCCCTTATCATCTGGCCGCTGTCTACCACCACCATCGCAATAACACCCCCCTTTAGATGCGCAACTGGCTCCTTATCCTCTCGCATGCCCGTTGAACACGAAAAATCCGATAAAATACGCATCGCAAGTACCAACGACACTACGACAACATACATTTCGACAGAAAATACATACATTTAAAGCACAATGGCGACCATGGCGAACCACGATCGCGAGACATCGCTTCCAATATGCCAGAACTGCTCGACGTCGACAACGCCGCTATGGCGACGCGACGAGATGGGCTCCGTGCTGTGCAATGCCTGCGGTCTCTTCCTCAAGCTGCACGGCCGCCCGCGGCCGATATCCCTCAAGACCGATGTGATCAAGAGCCGGAACCGCGTCAAGACGTCGATGCGCCCGGACATGCTGAAGAAAAAGGTTGGTGCTTTTTGTTGTTTTGGTTCGTTATTTTCCGAGGGGCTACACCGTCGGATAAGGGATCGAGATATCGCGCCTCGGTGCAAACTGGCGGAGCAAACTCGAGGCGCATGCGCGCGCTGTCTTTCGCACCGCAGGACGATTGTTTTGTCTTTGATTTTTTTTGTGCTGTCTACATGCTCATACGGGATTTCTTTCTCCCACAAACAGAATAATGCCGCTGCTGCAGCCGCTGCAGCCGCAGCCGCCGCCGCGACCATGGTCGGCGATCCGAACGGCGTCGTCGACCTCCAGAGCCATGCCTATGCCGCCACTGCCGCCCTCTCGCGACGCACACCCCAGAAGGGCGCTAACGGCCACCACCTTGACACCGACTCGCCCATGTCCGGCGCCGGCACCCCCAGCATATACAACGCCCATGCCTCCTCCTCCTACCCCATCCTCGACGACGGCAACTACCAGGGCCAACACCTGCAGGCGTTTGCCACGGCCGGCGACGGGTCCGGCCAGCACGATGCGAACGGCGACGGCGGCCCCCAGACGTCGGATCAACTGGCTGCGACAAATTCCAGCTTGAAGACGCGGGTCGCCGAGCTCGAGGTCATCAACGACTTTATCACGCGACGCCTAGGCCACTACGAACCTGTGTACGGCAGCGGTGCCGGCCAGGACGGCCAGGACGGTGCTCAGCAGGGCGACGAGACGCAGCTGCGGTCGCAAATCGAGCTCTTGACGCAGTCGGAGCGGCAACTGCGCACCGATCTGGAGGAGGGCCACCGCCGCGAGAATATGATGAAGCGCCGCCTTGACGAGCTCGAGCAGGAGCTCAAGGAGGCCAAGGATGCCCTCAGTGTCTACGAGGGCGACCGCGCAAAACGGCCCCGCCTTGGCGAGGCTTCCACTTCCCTGTCGGGAACGGCAGCCGACGCATTGACTGCTGCTGCTGCTGTTGCTGCCGATGCCGGCGATTCATCTGAGGCTGCGGCGCCGACGGCGGACGGTGTGACCGCCGCTGCAACTGCCGCTGCTGTGGCTGCTGCCGTTACTGCCGCGGCATCCACGGAAGCGGCGGCCGAGACTACCACACCGGCCGTCGCCGACGAGGCCAAGCCGGAGCCTGTCGCGGCGGACACCAACGATGCCAGCGCATTAGATGCTGAGGCCGCCTCTACGGCGCTTGCTGCACTAACGGCCGCCACGGCAGACAATGCGCTGGAGAACGCGTCGGCACAAGATGTGGCCGCTGCTGCTGCTGCGGTCGCTGCTGTGGCCAGCGATGCGGCGCGGAACGCCACTGAAGGTCCCACGTCGCCGAAGCCATAGGGGGCGGGGGTCGTACTAGAAAACCGCACGCATCAACAAAGCTACTTCTAGCCTACCCCTATGATTTGCAATACTCGTTTGCTCCCGTCTTACGTCCTTCACACACTGTGTCTTTTGTCTGCTTTTTTTTCGCGGTTTGTCTTTTCAACTTGCTTTTTGATTCCCTTGATAAATCACGACGAATGCTTTTATTTCTTTTAGCAACAAACGAAACATCTCATAATCGATCAACAAACTTGGGTGTTGCTACAAAAAAGCACGACGGGGGAGCGGCAGCCGTACTGTCTCTCCCACTCTGTCCTTCTGTGTCCTACCTCTGTTGATTTTTTTTTCGGCTTTTCAGTCTCATTTGTATTATACACATACCTAACTTGGAGGGGCGGTTTCCAATGATGTTCTTTATTTTTTTGTCATGCGCTGTTGGTGTTTTTTAGGTTGCCTCATACGACCCGTTTTCATTTTGCTTTTATGGCTGTCGTTTTTTTCTTCTTTTTTTTCAATTTCTTTTCTTGGAACGTTTCCTATTTACCACAAGCTGGAAAGTGCACAAAAAGGAGTGGTGTTTATTTACTGTGTTGACTTGTTGCATGTTCTTTACAACATATTTTGAAAAGGAGGGAATAGAAAAAAAGGCTAGGTTTACTTCAAAAAGGGGAGATGGTTGTGTCTGCTTTGTATCGTATGCACCGTGTAGCTTTGGTTTCCTTTTATACCACTTAAAACAAAATGTTTATTCTCGGACTCAAAAGGTTTCAATAATATTTCTCAATGAATAGACGAGGGTGTCGTATGTTGTATCCTTGGGCATATCAGCTAATGCCCGCGGCTGTCTGTTTCCTCATAAATGCGCCAGCAAATACAGTACCAAATATAAAAATACATGTCGCAATATCGGGTTCCCTCCTCCGCCAAAAATCATGACCCATTATCCACCAAGTCTCTCTATCTCTCGGAAGATATTTATTGTAAGAGTCAGAGCCCACGACACTAGTCCAATCAGCTCGAAGGCACCCAGTGCCCTGAGCAGGCCCTGGCTGGATGTGGTGTTAAAAAAGACCATGGCTTCGAACCCGAGTGCCGTACTCGCCGACTTGAATATGATAAAGAACAAGTCGGTAAGAATGAGTCGGATACGCGCCTGTGGGGGACGCAGGCCCAGCGGCTTGCCCGTATAGTCATCAAAGGTAATGTATCCAATGTATGGGATGGCCACGACGTCAACGACGATCGCGACGATGATCTGGTTTCGTTCTTGCTGCATGTTCGCCAGCCACACACTGTTAAAGTCTGTACTTGTCCGGTCGCCTTCGCCGAATAAACGCCCGAGCCGCTCGCGCTTGAAGATGGTGATGGCGATGATAAGAGCAACCAGGGATGTGGACAGAACGACCAGACGGCAGGCGAGCGGTCCCAGTGGGTGGTGCAGCAGCGTCTGCCAGATTCGCACATAAAACGCTTTGTCCGAGTACTTGGATCGGCGGTTGTTGTGGTGGAAGTGCCCGTCACCGTCGCCAACCTTAGGCGGCAGGTGAACGTTGTAGCCAAAGTCAGGGTTGAGCCGGGCCATCTCCTCATCGTCTATGACTTCCGACTTCTCATTCGGCGAGTGTGGGTAGCGCGACGACTCGATGAAGCTGCGCCATTGCGTCTCAGGGTTGTACCACCACGCATGTCTGGTCCTTGTCGTTGACGACTGTTTCTGTGGTGTCGGTATGGCGTGTGGCGACGCGCCCGAAGCCGTGGCCGATGGTGTGGCTGCGGTCGAGGCGGGCCGTAAAGCTGCTGCCGCCGCTGTTGGTGGGGTCAAGGACGCAGCCTCCGCCGCGATGACATCTGCTTCGAGCTCTTCTCTCCCTACCTGGATCGTTCCATCGCTGTGAATCCTCTCCACCCTTGGCTGCCTCATACTGTCTCTGTAGGGCTCGTCTGCGTCCTCACTCTGGCCGTAATTTATAGGGCCGTTGACGACATGAAACTGAGGCACGATAACTGGTTCCGAAGACCGAAGATGGTCCCATTTACGGCCTTCTTTGCTCTGGAACAGATGAGACAAGCGATGCCCTATGCCCCGGTCATGGTTCTCTTCTTTGCCTGTTATCGCCTTGCCCGCCGTGTCTGCTGTGTGTGCCGCGCCGTCTACTGCCCGGTGGCCGCCTGCAGCGGCTCCGCTCATCACCGGGTTGTCGTCATTTCGCTCACGGTCATTGTTTTCGTCAATATGGTCCCGGGTCGCCCCGCTGCGTCTATGTCGTGGGTCGGACGGCGCGTGGTTATGCTGTGGATGAAGAGACTCTGGTGGCCGTTGAATGACCCAAGCTAAACAAGCAAAGCGAATATACCACGCGTCAGCCTTCTCCAAATCATGGCTTGTTTTTCTACTCCGCGCGAGCGCTTACTGGCTCCGACTGAAGGCTGCAGGGATCATAACAAGTACGACAGAAACTTACGAGGAATGGTCCTCACAGTCCCTGGAGCCATGGGGCAGACGAGGCGACCGATCGTCAGACCGAGACGCCAGGAACGTTGAAGGCTGAGAACTTGAAGCCGATATCGCCGGATGGATCGCCGCTGACGAATTGTGAAAGATGGCGATGATGATGCGTGCGCGGCGAAAGAAAGAGGTCGGTTCGCCTCGTGTTAGCCGAGGGCACACGTCCTCGTAAACAAACGACGTCAACGGACAGGCCAAATGAGACAGCTAGGGCAAAGACAGGGCGGCAGGCTGGTGTGCTGTGCGACGTAGAGCGCCGTGCGGACGGCGCGAAAATCGTATGCACGATCAAAGACAAATCTGGGGTAACAAAGAAGGAAAAGGACGAGGAGAAAGGAACAACGGCGACAGAAGCCTAGCCTTCCGAAACTGGGTGAATTTCTCCAATCCAAGTAAGAACTGCTTTTGCAAAGCACTTTCCCTTTTTGATGGTTTTTTTTTTTTTTGGCAGCATGCGCCTACCTCGTCATGATAATATATTTAGTCTAGCGGGCGGGTCTGTCACCTGGAGAGGTCGTCGCACAGGAGAACTGTCTCCGGTTAGGCCTACATGCCGAGCTTGGCACGATAAACTGTGGCCTGTAATATGGCCTAGCGCCACAGAGCTGGCCAGGCCCGTGCTAGGCTGCATGGTGCACAAACTGCTGCGAAGATGACCTGAAATCTAGCGTACGGCGGATCTCGATTGCGGCAACAGGCGAGGAAAAAGCAACTGCAGCCTGTGCCAGGACAGTACTGGTGTAGATGCGTGGCAAGACAAAATTCTAGAATGCGGTCTTACATGTTGCCTTTCTGATTCAACGAAGATCTCGTACATAAGCGGCCAAAATAGAAAAGCGATGCAAGTACTTCATATTACTACTGTAAAATGCTGACTGGTGCCCTAAGCCAGGATTAAGCAATGCCTAAGAGGAAGCTACTCGGACTTAATACTGCTGGGAAGGTTGCAAAAGGATTACCACCACAGAGGGGGGCCCCGCAGCAAGCTCAAGGATGCCCAAATGGACCACTCACAGGCCACAGCTAGCCAACATGTCGTCATGCTTTGCGGCTGGAACGCGGTCGCGGCCAGACGGCGAGTGGCATGCGGAGCGTGCTGGGAAGATGACGCCGGACAGGTCAGGCCAACTTTATTCCCAAACCAAGCTTCAACCTCTTATATCGATTATGAGAAAATTTTCGACGCGCAACAAGAAATCAAACAACGACTAATTGGGCCAACAGAACAAAAGACCAACCATAGAAGAGCGCGGAACGGAACGAGAATCAGCTTTTTGTGAAGCCAAAAGGCAAAAAAGCGTAAAAGCAGGTTACATTTGCCGTCTTTTTCGTCGTCTCGACCAACCTTTCGCCCTACCTTGAGAGAGGGCACGGAGCTAACGGGTGTCAATTGGGGTCCCGTTTGAGCTCGATCCGGCCGCCATTGTCCGAACCGGGAGTGCGGACAAGCAAACGAAGAGCTTCCACAATTGGTAGCATTGGCAGGACTTGGCCTTGGTCGTCCTACCCAGCAAGACACGGCTCCCGCCTTGGCCCAAGCCTCAGACACCGCGACACTACCCCAGGCGCAACCTCCGGCGCAACCCCAGACGCCGCTACAATGCGCCTCTTCCTCCTTCCAATCTCTACGCGGCGCACGCTGTTCTATTGCGAGCGCCTGACCGAGCCGCTCCCTCACCAGATGTCCCTCATGGACAAGGTCCAAAACCGGGCCGCCAAGATGTGGTCCGGCTGGGAGAAGAAGCCACCGGGCAGCCTGATGCACCGCATTGTGTCCTCGGGCAACGCCGGTCTACGACGCATTGCCTTTGAGGAGTGGGGGCTCAAGTCGGTGCCGCCTCACTCGGCACGGAAGCGGATGGAAGAAGCGGCCGCTCGGGCGATCGAGGAGGACAAGGAGAACAAGAAGAATACGAATGCGGACGGGGTGGATACAAAGGACACCAAAACGGCCGTCGTCAAAGGCTTCGACTCAAAATCGGTCCAAGTTGTCTATCCGTCATCCGTCATTCCCTCGACGTCTGTGGAGGCGCTGCTGACCAGGCTGGGCACCGAGCGCGAGGATTTGCACCGGAAGCGGCTGATCTGGTGCTTTGTCGGCATGCCCATCACGGCGCCGTTTGTCCTCGTCCCCGTCATCCCCAATATTCCCTTCTTCTACCTGGCCTACCGCGCGTGGTCACACTGGCGGGCGCTCTCCGGCAGCAAACACATCCAGCACCTACTGGCGAACAAGGGCCTCGTCTATACGTCCTCGCCGATTCTCGACGCCATCTACGACAAGGAGAAGTCCGTTATGGGGGAGACAAAGCCAGTCGGAACGCAGATACGCCGGGAGGCCGACAGCAACGGGAGTGCGGTGAGCCACGACGAAGCAGAGCCGGAACGACTGCTCCTATCGAACCCGAGCGGCAGCAAAGGCATTGCGGACGCGTTCAACGCGCCGTCCCTCGAGCTCGAGCTAGAGCGGGCCATTTGGCAGGTAGAGACAGCCCTAGCGAAGGAGCGCGGGGTGAAGGGGAAGAATGAGGAGGAGACGAAGCAAGAAGGACCGGACGCAAACGCAAATGTGGGGATCGAGACAACAAAACGACAAACCATACCAGAGAAGCAACAGCCGACACCAGAACAGTGGGCCGGGCCACCAGATGCACCAGCAAAGGGAAAGGACAAGGCCAACTGATTCGAGACGGCATTGGAGGGGCCGGTGATGTGGGCTGAGACAAAAGACGAGGCGCAATTTCCGTTGGGAACACGATATGGACTATATGATACTATTTTGATTTTGCGTCTTGGACGGACTGCGTTGTCGTTTCATACATAGACTGGATCGGAGAGCGGATACATGAGGGACATAGACTCCTCTCGGCAAACTTGCACATACACAAGATATACTCACCTACATATACAACATACACACCGTACAACAATGGCCGAAAACGTGACACGAAATCATGCCCGGCCAGACCGGAAGGACTGGGAGCGCCGGCACTCTTGCAATTGGAGGTGGATCGGCGGTCGGTAGTTCAACTTGACCGACCGGTCGGGTCTATGGTTGAGAGCTTTTTACGGAGTACATTGCCTACCTCGTTTTCGTTTTTGTCAATTTTGGACGCCGTCCGGGCCACTTTCTGTAACAGAGTGGGCCCGGGGGCCCCATCTACTCGGTACAAAGTATCCAGTTATCTTTATGGAGGGAGAGAAGGACATCGAGAGAGGCGGAAGGATTTTCATGATACGGGGCAATTGCAATGGAGTAATTACAACATATTCTGCCCGCGTAGCCTCTCTCGTTAAACACCCTGGCTCTGGACCAGAAATCCGAAGCACGACGTTCTTGAAATTGGACTATCTACGGAGTAGGCGCGGTACGGAGTTCAACTAAACCAATACCGGTAATCTGTCTGTGTAGACAACATACCGTACGAGCCTCAGAGCTAGCATTTTCACTATACTGCGCAAGTCCCGACTCTTCCGCTCGTCGATCCCGATCTCCAGCAAAACGCAACACTAACACGGACATTCTCGGTTTGAGCGACTCGCTTAAAAATCCGTTACGGCCTTCGTGGTCACCTCGCAACGTTTGTACCAAGTCTGGCTTTGGAGAGAATCTGTTTCGGCCAGAAGAATGAAGCCAGGACTACAGACTACGGGGACGCATCAAATACGACTTTGCAAATAGGCCTCCTTCGGGGTGTGAAGGAGCTGGTGTGCACACAAAGTCGGCCCAGGTCATTGTTTTCATCGATTTGGCAGTACTTTCGATAGTGCGGCCGGTGCGTCGTGCATTGGTCCTTTCAATTGTCACTTGTGCCATCAGCCTTGCAAGAGCTACGATTTGAGGAACTTGGAACCGCACCTGATTCGCTTAACTGATTAACAGTTAAAGGCAAGAGACTCGTGCCTTCCTCGACTGTAGCATCGATGCTGTACGGGTTATGTCTCCATGTTTGGCTTCTCGTTCGAGGCAGGTACATTGGGCACCTCCGTTAACAGCAGAAGAGGCGCCATAAGACTGAAAGTGTCCGAACGTTGGAAAGGGCAGGAGCAGATCAAATGGCTATTTTGGCCGCCGGGGCCGAAAGTTGGCGGCCCAAGCTCTGAAACCCACCACCTGAGCAATAACCAGAACAAGTATAAAAACAACCGTCTTTCGGGGACAAATGCTGGCAAAGACTTGAGGACCCGACTCGAAGGCTGTTTTCGGAAGTAACAAAAGAATACCTGGCCAGAACATGAATTTCAGACACATGGGCATCGCATCTTCCGTGGCCTTTGTGCCCAGCGGAAGGAGAATATCCCAAATCAGAGTCGCTTCTACTGGTCAATCTCGAATCAGCTGTATTCTATCGCTGTCAAACTAGAGGAAAACAGTGAATCACATGGAAATTTCTTACATCGGTCCCGGCCACGGTGTTGTGCGATCCTGCGCTAGTCCCTATTTTCTCGCCCGCTGCGGAGTAACACATATCACCGTACGACATGCGGCGTGCTACGACTAGACCGGCTTCAGGCAGTGTCTTTCGTAGGCCCACACTTTTCCTCCATCTTGGCCTGAACGCCCCTTTCAACCACAATGGCCTGGCCTGGCGCTTACGCCGCATCTGTGCCCTTTCCCCCTCCTTCCATTTCAAATTCCTTGCACTGGCTTGAGCACCTCTCGGGGCCTCTCCTCCACTAAAACCCCATTCCCCCATCGCGGCTGCCTTGGCTGCGGCGTTAGCAGCCCACGAAAAAGTTGCCCGGTGTACTTCGTACAGAGTATTACGTCGTAATTAATACTTCCACGTACTGAGGCGCTCGCCGTGTGCTCTGTTCCTATTTGCAAGCACTCGTGCGCTTAGCAGTGCAAAATACTTCGTGCAAGTACTTGATTTCGCGGAGAACGCAACGACTACACGGCGAAGATAAAACGCAAACAATATTTTCGGACTTGTGCCTCGAGGTAATCTGCTTTTGTCATAACTCGCGTCGTTCTTTCCCCGTCCAAAAGGTCCAACCCGTTTCACGCCACCACGAGGCAGGAACTTTTTGCACTTGTATTGCAGCAGCATACGTCGCAAAGAGACGGAAGGAGCCAACGAACTAGCACCGGCTTTGACTTTTCATCTCCCTTCTCCATCGTCGATGCCCCGCCGCGATTCTGTCTTTTGCCCTTCTTCTTGCTCACTAGCTTCATTCAATCCGCTGCTCGGTGCACTTCGTCATTTTTTCCCTCTCCGTCATTCTTCTTTCTTCTGCTTTCAGGCACACCCCTGTTTCGATATCCAGGGTTCTTTTGAGTAGATACTCAACTGGTGTTCTTGTTGTCTCTCCTCCACCCTCACCCTCCTGTCCTTCATCGGAACACTTGAAGTTGCACCCATCGACACCTTCACAGTCGGCATTTTGCCGACCTTGATGCCTTGACTATTTGCGCAGTGTCCATCTCCGCCCCTTTTGCGTCCTTCCTCCAGATTCGACGCCCACTTCATCACCCACGGCGAGTCAGCACTTGTCCCACCTGTCGCATTTCCACGGTGTATTGCTCTCCTTGCAGCCAGCGTCCAGCTTGCAGCACGTGTCGCAAGCGGTACCTTTCCTCGCCTGCTACTGCTCCGAGACGTCCGCGACGCACCGGTTTCGACCCGGCAACGGGGTACTAAGAAAAGGCCGTACTCGTCCGTACTCATCCGGATAGGGCAACATCCAAACGACGGCTGCAACATCGACTCCCGCGTACCATCTCGTGGCCATTGTAGGACGACGACTGCTTTCGTCCGAGACAATCGACGTTTCGTTCCTCCCCACATCTCATTCATACCAGCAACGTATTTGACGGCCTCCCTTCTATCAAATCATTCGTACAACCGCCCATCACCAAAGCTCCTTACCGACGACATCGACCTAGAGTTTGGATCACGTCGGCACTATGGAGATCGATTCGCCCATGGAAGACGGTGCGCAGTCGCAGCAGGGGCAGCAGGCGCCGTCATCACCCTCCAGACAGGGCTTTGCTGCGACTGAAGCGAACAACCAACAGGGCGCACAGTCGGCACAGGACCAGTCTTCGAACCAGTCGGGAGCCAACCATCTCAGCTTCAGAAGGTAAGGATTGCATTCTTTGTCTCGTATTGTTATTATGGTTCTAGAGTGTTATGGTCATCCGTTCCAGTACCCAACTTTTGTAAAACGTCGCAGAGCGCGAAGACGTCTTTTGGCTATGGCCTAGCGGTCGTGGTCATCACTGCAGGTCTTGGGTGTCGAGCCTGCTTCTGCATGATAAGGAGGGTGACAAAGCTCGAAATCAGATGGAAACAAATGGTGGTAAAGAGAAATGACCATTTTCTAACACGGTTTCTTCCGCAGGCAACGAGCATCGAGAGCATGTGAGGTTCGTTTTCCCCAGATTTTCCCTTTCGACTCTTTTTCTTTTCTTCTTTTTCGCTCCAATCCCGGACTTCATCACACTATTATATTTGCGGCCTGTTGCGAGCCGGCTTGGAGCTGCCCTCCTTCACGTCGGTTATTGATGACCTCCATCTGAGCCGAGGCAACGTCTTTTACGATCCTCCTTCAGTCTCACACTCCAAACTCCGATGCCTCTCATTCGCTACCACAACCCCTTCTCTCCGCAAGCACGCGCCTCCTACCCCCCCTCACTCCTCCCCGTATCTCGGGATCGTCCTTGTTATCCTGACTTATGCCCAAATGCTTGCAATTTGGCCCCTTGGCACAACCTCTGTCATTTCCTAATGACGTTTGACTACTTCGCAAATTAGAAGTTCCATGCTGACGATACCTCGTGACAGACATGCCATGCGAGAAAGGTACGAATACCACACGGCAGATGCGCCACAACACTCCTTACGTCCAGTGCACTCCCGAGGCACATATCAGATCCACATAGATCTTGACGTCAATGAGAGATTGCAAATGGGAACTCGGAGCTTGACCTGGGCCCTCGATCCGATTTCATTCCTCCGTCTTTTATCGACACTCTTGTGATGCAAGAACATCTTGATCTTGAGAAAATCCTAACATTGTGCCATCATATAGGTTCGATGTGATGCCGCCAGTCTCGGTATCCCTTGCACAAACTGTGTCGCGTTCAACATCGAGTGCAGAATTCCAGCTCCGAAACGCAAGAAGGCAGCCACTCAAGCGACCCCATCAACGGGTAGATCAGCGTCAAAGGACTCAGACAGGTGTGTTTATAAAGCGCTTTCTGCATAGAGCGATACCTGTAGCACGTTTGATGTCTCTTGTAAGAGTATCCTATTCTGACGATGTCCATTTAGCGAACGCGGCGACCCTACCGACGACAGATCGCCGCAAGCAAGTAGTGTTGCAGCATCCAATGCATCGGGAATTACACCGACCACCAACGCCACTCTTGGGAACTTCCGTCCGCCGGCCATTTACCACACCGCTGAAGGCACCCCGTCGAGTGCCGTGACGGAGCTTCAAGCGAAGCAGCAAGAAGCCGATAATAGCACATACGTCAACATTCTTATGAAGCCCCGGTTCACGAGAGCGCCCATCACGGAGGCCGGCCGTGTTGCCTATCTCGGCGAGTCGTCCAACTTGACCTTGCTGGTACACGACCAGGCTGGCTCGAGCGATGTCGTCCACTACCCGCTGCCTGAGAATGTGCGCGGTTCGCGTGCACGTCTCACCGAGTTAGACAATGTTGAGATTGATATATTGCACCAACGGGGCGCATTCTTGCTCCCTCCACGCGACCTGTGCGACGAGCTGATCGATGCCTACTTCAAGTGGGTGCACCCGATCGTTCCGGCCATCAACCGTACACGTTTTATGCGCCAGTATCGCGACACAAACAACCCTCCCTCCCTCCTGCTGCTCCAAGCCGTCCTCCTCGCCGGCTCACGCGTTTGCAAGAATCCGAAACTTATGGATGCCAACGGCTCCACGACACCGGCCGCCCTGACGTTTTACAAGCGCGCCAAAGCTCTCTACGACGCCAACTACGAAGACGACCGTGTTACCATTGTGCAATCGCTACTTCTGATGGGCTGGTACTGGGAAGGCCCGGAAGACGTCACCAAGAACGTTTTCTACTGGAGCCGCGTCGCCACCATTGTGGCGCAGGGCTCTGGTATGCACCGAAGTGTAGAAGACTCGCAACTGAGCACGACTGACAAGCGCTTATGGAAGCGTATCTGGTGGACGCTCTTTACGCGCGATCGCTCGGTTGCTGTTGCTCTGGGCCGCCCCGTGCACATCAACCTGGAGGACTCGGACGTCGAGATGCTCGTCGAAGAGGACTTTAACGAAGACGAGCCGGATCAGCCGAGCGAGTACAAAACGGACCCTCTCCAAGCTCAATTCTTCATGCAGTACGTCAAGTTGTGTGAGATTATGGGCTTGGTGCTCTCCCAGCAATATTCGGTTGCCTCCAAGGGCCGTCAGAAGAGCCCCATGGACCTAGCGCACAGTGACATGGCGCTGGCCGACTGGCTGCAGAACTGTCCGCCGATTGTGTGCTGGAATTCTGCCAGTCGCAACTTCTGGTCGGGCCTCTTGTTCTCGACCTACTACACCACGCTGTGTCTCCTGCATCGTGCCTATATGCCCCCCGGGTCTTCCAGTCGCTTTGGTGATGAGTCTGCTATGTACCCATCTCGCACGATCGCGTTCCAGGCCGCAAACAACATTTCTCACATCATCGACTACATGAACAGCTCTGATCAATTGCGGTTCTGCCCGGCATTTATCGTCTACAGTCTCTTCTCTGCCCTCATCATGCATGTCTACCAGATGCGGTCGCCCATCCCGTCGATTCAGATGGTCACACAAGACAACCTGCAGATCTGCATGAACGGCCTGAAGGAGGTGTCCAAAGTGTGGCTCGTCGGCAAAATGGTCTATGCACTCTTCGAGTCCATCCTGGGCAACAGAACGTACGAAGACCGCCTTAGACGAGCTGCCGGTCAGAGGCATCATAAGATGCAACAAGTCTTCACGGGCCTCGAGCAACAAGCTGCCGCTCAGCAACAGTCTCAGCAACAGTCCAACAGGCAGGCTCAGCAGCAGGCTCAGCAACAGGCCCAGCAGCAGGTTCAGCATCAGCAGCAGCAGCAGCAGCAGCAGGCCCAACAACAACAGCAGGCTCAGCAGCAACAACAATATGATCTGTCGAAGCGCAAGTACGACGACATGGCCATCGACTTCAGCGTTAACACGCCACAGCCGCAGGAGTCCTATGAGCGGTCCAGACCACAGACGCCAAGTCTTGCGAATGCAAAGGCTGAGTCGGGTACGGGCACCGCGATGCCACCTCCATCAGCGATCACGTCGCCGCCCACAAAGCAAACTGGCGACGCGTTCATGGGTGGAAACGGGCCGTCCAATGCAGCCGGTGGTACGGCATCCCGGCCACAGACGCGTCCGCACACGCCATTTAACCCCTCTTACTCGGTCCCATCGACCCCGCCAGACCTGTACCTGGTCACGCGCAACTCGCCGATTTTGTCGCAATCTGTCTGGGAAAACTTCCAACCAGACCAGCTGTTCCCTGACGGCACCGGCTTCTCGACCATGTTCCCGCCGACCATGTCCCCGGGTGGCACGACACAGACACTGGACCCCAACATGATCAACACTGGTATGCCTCAGACACAGCAGCAGCAGCCTCAGCAAAGTCCTTTCGTCCAACATGCCGCCCCTGTCTCCACTGCTGATGCCAGCAACAACAGCGGTATTGGTGGCACCAGTGCGAGCCCCATGCAAAACCCGAGCATGTTGGCACCCGGCATACCTGGTTTCCAACAGGGGAATGGCGGTCAGCAGCAGCAGGGCTGGAACGCTAAGACAGATGCTGCAATGCACGACGGCCAGAGCCCGAGCGATAGCTGGAGTACGGGTTCCGTTGGTGGGCAGCCCGTGCCGTCGACTCTCAATGTTGAAGATTGGTATGTCTTTTCCCATCTCGTTTTGTTCTCCTTTGTTTCTTACCTTTTCCAAAGTACTAACCAAGCATCCAATTTAGGTTCCAATTCTTTGGCATCAACGGTGACGCCAGCGCCATGAACCTAGATCTTTCGTCCCTTACATAATAGTAAACGGGAACGAAACACCGCCGATGCTTATGGGAGTTTACAGCCTCAGTTTTTCTGATTAGAAGATTGATATTTTAAGTTGTTGAGAGAGAGGAAATTCGGAGTGTTTTATGGGTATTATGATTAAACATGGAGCAGGAACTGGGGGTTTTACGTATGGAAGTATTGTATATTGGTCTTGAGTGGTTTTACTCTCCTGTCTTTTTTATGTGTCGGGTATAATGATTCAATTCACGACGGTATTCTCCATAAAAGCATTATCAACTTGGTTATTAAAGAAAATGTTTAAATCATATAACAGGGGTGAATCACCACACCGATCTATCTAATCATTCTCATATTCTTATTCAAATTGCAACGAACAAATTTGATTAAAAGCTGTTTATTCTCTTATAACAAAGGCTTAGTCGTGACACGTAAAATGTATTAAATATCCAAATAAATAAAAAAATAGGATTTATATGCAACCCCAGTCTGATATTAGAAAAATATAAAATTTTTCAACAAGACAACGCAAATATGCCCATTACGAAAACCATTCGTGCTTGGCTGACCCTTTGCTAAGTATGGTATGCAAATATGCCTGAAAACTAAAATGCCAAACAAGATGCAGTGATCCAAAACCATTGTTTCAATAAATCATTGCTACGTCAGATTATGGCAAGAGCATCA